CACACACACACACGTGTATATATATATATATATATATATATATATATATATATATATATATCGTCCCCTTGGAATTATAAGGTTCTATCTGCATTCCGAGTAGTTTTGAGATATTTTTGCATTCTATTCGACTGTGTAGATAGAATCTTTTAGTTTTTTAACCTTTTCAGTGGCGAGTTTAAAATATTCTAGCGGTCCCCCCACAGTGAGTTTTTTTTTTGCTTGTCACATGACACACCGCGGCCACAATAACACTGTATGACAGATGGATCGCTTTTATTTCTTTTCCTTTTTTATTTAAAATATTCACAAACGTGCATTCCATGTCATGAGCTATCTGATATTCCGATTTACAAATATGTGTGAATGAGTGTGTTTTGTCGTTTAAAACCCTTTCTAAATGATCTTGATCGTGATCTGTAATGTGAGATGGGCGCCGCCATGTTTGCTCGCGCTGCAGTTCAGAGTCCTGTCAGTCGGATTTGCAGCACGTGAATTCATCAATTTCTCCCAAAAATACAAGTAATAAGTGGCCGGTGAAGAATAGAGTGAACTTTATAGTTATTTACACTATGTGTATCTGATATGAATAAAACACATCGGCAAATTAAATTTGAATGGATTGTTATTGTTGCTTCCATAGACATGTGTGTGTATTTTTCAAACTCTAAATGTATTGTTTTACCAGTACTTATGTGTATTTAAATGTCTGAACCCTAAAATATGCATTATGTGGTTAAGAACATTGCACAGTTGTGATAAAATGACAAGCGCAGTGCAGGTCTCTCTCTGGCTCAGCGTCAGCTAAAGCGCGAAAGCACAGTTTGAATTCGGCAGTTATGTGACGTCACCGAACGGTCTAAATCCCGTATGTGGGACCGTCCCGCTCAACGGGTTAAATAGAAAAGTCCCAAAATGTACACAACATTAAAAAATCTATCACATAATGTAAATAAGTTGTCACAGAATAAGAATATGTGAATAACTCAATTTTGACAAAAATGTCAGATATAACCTTATAATATATATATATATAAATCAAAACAGTAAAAGAACATTTAATCTGCAAAACCTTATTATTATTCATATTGAAAATAATTTAAATAAATTTGTATTATATTTATATATGGCTATATTACAATGTATGTGTTACAATGTACAATGTAATGCTTGTTTAAACGAATATAAATTACACACTGCCTAATTGAGAGAAAAAAGTAGGGAAATTCCAGATTTAATTTGATCTAATCCAGCCTCATAATTAATTGATATTATTCATTACTGGGAAAAAAAACTGATTAAATGATGCATTTATATATCAAAACACAAAAAAAGAACATGTTTACAATATATATATATATATATATATATATATTTAAAAATGCACATTATGGGAGAAAATTTATACAGGAAAAGCAGCAGATTAAAATGAAATATAAAACTTTTTGAATATAAAATATGCATTTTATATGAATCATTTAAAAAGGAAGCATTCACAGTCTTTCTTAAAATGTACTTTGACAAAAAAAAATTGTTTGTGTAATAGCATGTAGGCCTATTTCCAGAATTAATTAGCTATAGCTAATCTGATCCAATTGATTATGTGCTGAATTATCAAGAAAGTTCAACACAACCCAACCCTCAAAACTGAACTGAACTGAGTAAATGATGTCAGAAATGACCAGTGTTGGGGAAAGTTACTTCTAAAAGTAATGCATTACAATATTGCACTACTCCATAAAAAAGTAACGAATTACATTACTTAGTTACTTTTTATGGAAAGTAATGCATTACTTTTTAAATCTGGACAGGGCTTACTTGTTTGTTTTTAAAATAAAAAAGTTCTATTTTTGGCAAATATAAAAGCCTTTTCACACCAAAAGTGAAATGAATAAGCCTCAGGCTGAAGGGAAAGTAAATGTATGTCTGTACAGTAGAATGCAGAAGAAGATTTCAACACACGTCAGCAGTAAAAAAGACACAAATGTTCGTCTAGAGTAATTTTTGCCGATTAGTACAGTTGAACTGGATCATCGAAGGTCAGAAGCAAAGACATTGGTTAATAGAATGGAATTAAAAGGATATTTGTGTTAACATTTAATTATTGCAGGTTTGCATTCATTTGCATGTGTTGTGAGGATTTGCAGCGTTTCTTCATTTGCATGTGTTGTGAGGATTTGTAGGGTGTTTCTTCATTTGCATGTGTTGTGAGGATTTGCAGCGTTTCTTCATTTGCGTGTGTTGTGAGGGTTTGTAGAGCGTTTCTTCATTTGCATGTGTTGTGAGGATTTGCAGCTCGTTTCTTCATTTGCATGTGTTGTGAGGATTTGCAGCTCGTTTCTTCATTTGCATGTGTTGTGAGGATTTGCAGCTCGTTTCTTCATTTGCATGTGTTGTGAGGATTTGCAGCGCGTTTCTTCATTTGCATGTGTTGTGAGGATTTGCAGCGCGTTTCTTCATTTGCATGTGTTGTGAGGATTTGTGCAGCGTTTCTTCATTTGCATGTGTTGTGAGGATTTGCAGCGCGTTTCTTCATTTGCATGTGTTGTGAGGATTTGCAGCGCGTGTGTTGTCAAACTGATGAAGATGTTTTCTTAATTTGCTGGTGTTTTTTCAATTTGCATGTGTTTTCTTAAGTTGCAGCGCGTTGAGCTCTCTCGGCCACCGTAGAATTCGGCCATCGGCGAAAACTAATTGAGGAACCCTGGACTATACCTTCAAATTATGATTTTTAAAATATTTTGCCACTTGTCGCTACCCATTTATTTATTTATTTTACCCATTTTGTTTTTCGCATACATCGCTTGACCTCTTCTGCGCAAATTTTACTCATTGGAACTACTTCGCCAAGAAAGAGGTGAAATATCACTCCGCGTCACGTCCGCTCGCCCACCTGCATCACTTGCACAACATACAACTACTCACAATTTGACATATAGTATATAACACGATATATAGTCCACTTTTAACACACGCGTGAAATCAATACCCATTTTCTGTTATATCCAGTACGATAATTTACCTCATTCTGTGTTAAGACGGACGAGTCCAGGAACTAGTTTACATGTAATGAGACGCGTGGAGGGATGAGACCGCGCTCGCGTCCAGTCAAGTGCGTGTTTTCCCAACTGAGATCAATGGATCTTGAGAGAGTTGTGCTTAGGTCGTGATGAAACCAAGATGGCGTGTAGTTCAGACTTAGAACTACAGTAACATCTTCTGATTTCTCTCAACATGGGGACAGAAGAGCTGCCAATCAATACATTAAAAAAAAGTAACTTACGTTACTTATTTGAAAAAGTAACTCAGATATTCTCTTGTAAATTAAAAAGTAATGCGTTACTTTACTAGCTACTTGGAAAAAAGTAATCTGATTACGTAACTCGCGTTACTTGTAATGCGTTACCCCCAACACTGGAAATGGCTTTACCAGAGTTCCTCAACAGGGGAAACTGTAACCGCGGTTTGGCCCGCGCTAATTTCAAATAATGTGGCATGAAAATTCAAACGCAGCATCAGAAAGCTACATTAACTTACATCGTGTCGACACCGGACTCGAGCGGCGCAATAAAATACAATAAATATTTATAATTAGTGAGGCTGTCTTGGATGCGGCGCGACCGTGTTTTCCCAACTGAGATCAATGGATCTTGAGAGAGTTGTGCTTAGGTCGTGATGAAACCAAGATGGCGTGTAGTTCAGACAGGAGGAACGGTGGCTAGCTGAGGGAAGAAAACACTGGGAACGACGCGTATTTTGTACACGTGCGCGAAACGGTTATTATTAAGAAAAAGTCAACTTACACGGGACTTTCAGGAGTCCGTTGGAAAGAAGACCTCCGCGATCATCATCCCTCTAACCGACCGAGAGTGTGTGAATGTGTGTGTGCTGGGATGGGCTGATCGAGGAGGCCGCAGAGCCACTGCCACCCAGAGACTGACCCTCCACCGAACAATAGACCCCGTGAGCATCAAACAAGAGCCAGAAAGACAGATAATTAAACACACCGGCGCACTAATCATTCCGGCTGCAGGGGCGACTCCGAAGAATAAGAAGAACTCTGACCGAGTGCACAAATGTAAGACTGGTGCTCAGACTCACAGCACTGATGGCTAAATGTATGTTGATTTAGCGCAAGTGTTTCTGTTTGACCTGGAATATCCGATCAGATGATCCCTTTAAATGCCACACATCTTATACCCGCGACCCGAGGCAACCACACTATCTTCTCCCCTTGTGTGTTTCCACAACTCAGCCATTCTTTGGAATCGAGTCCTAATGTTTGGCCCTCTCACTGGATTTATAATCTGTTCACGTCTTCATACTGTCGGATATTTTGAGATTCGTTAAATACTTTTGACATCAAATCAATCGTTAGTTGGATTTGGCGTGAGTCTGCTGACAAACGGATGGTGAGGCTTTATTGTTTTGGTCATTAGCTGGACAGCTAACCAGCTACTTCTATAAAACCGCTTTCTTAGCAATTCCCCAGGGCACACAATTTCCCAGTAAGTCTTAAAAGTGTCAGTTCATCACATTTTAATGGTTTATTCACTATTATCTGTGAATTTGAAAGCTGTTGTCGAAGCTCACGCGAGTTAGCGGTTAGCAGGCTAAAGCTACAGGAAATTTGGGATTATGGCTGTGTCTCAAACCGTGGTGAGATATGAACATTAGAAAGCGGGGTTGACCGCCACGTGCGCCCCTTTGAATGTGTTTTTGTCTAGTTCTAATGTCATTTGTTTAGTTGGCAGCTTACTAGCATTTGAGAGACAGCCGCTGTCAGCTATTTTTATTTATAACTCGTCTGTCACGACGTTGTCAGAAGTGCATCTAATTGAATAGCCAAACTTCATATAGTAAAAACAACATTTGAACGAGACGGGTATTGTTTTGATTATGTATGTGTAAGTTTTTAATTTATAATGATTAATCCGGTAAAGCAAGAAATGAATGGCATCGTTACTAGCTTGGGAAATTAAGTGTAAACCGTTTTTCGTCACGTGATCAGTTTTTGTTGTTTTCACAACATGGAAGCTACTAGCATATAAACCCTTACAGTAGGTTTAGTTGTAATTAATGAATGGACTGTGTCATATTAGGCATTCTGCTGTTTTATAAGGTGCACATTTGATTAAACCAATGGCTGTGGATACATGCAAAAGCTATTTATGTTTTCCAGACAAGGCCTAAATGAACCATGTTTCGCTCCCTCCCCCATTTTGTCTGGTTTGAGACTGGGAGGTAGACAAAGTCAAAAGCAGGGGATTTCTGAAGTTAGAGAGGGTATGATGTTTTGTTAGAAGAGTAATCAGGTGCATTTCCAGACGTGCTTCTAGAGAGCAAGTTTCTGTTCTCCAATTCCTCCTGTCAAAGTGCCTGAGGAAGGTCTTTTTCTTTGTGCTCTAAACTTCCTGATTCGTTAAATCTCATGCATCATCAAGGCCCTTCCGTTAGATCTGTGCACTTTAATTCTGACACATGCTTTTGTGCTGGTCGTATATGGATCAAGCGCTGGTGTCCATTAGGGTGAACTCTGACCTTTTAAATATAGGGATTAAAAGATACCATGGCCCCTAGTGTCGTTTGAATATGTTAATGTTTTAAAACATGAACTAACAAAAGATGATGACCCTTTTCATAAAACACAAGCGGAACATTTTCAGGTTTTGTAAAACCGCTCTTTCATAAAGAGTCACAGTCAGTAAGAATGATTTATATGATTGATTTGGAATCTGCTTGTGTTGTATGAAAGAAGGCTAATGTGATTGCATTTACTTTTGATTTAGGAGTTATATTGTTTGATTTAAGTGAACTTGAATTGCTTGCTTTCAGAGCAATGGATGGAGGGGAGGAGTTTGTTCCGCCGCCGGAATGTCCAGTGTTTGAACCGTCATGGGAGGAGTTTGCTGATCCTCTGGGATATATCGCCAAAATCCGTCCAATAGCAGAAAAGTCTGGAATATGCAAGATTCGCCCACCACCCGTAATCAACTTTTGCATTTTTCTGTGCTGTCATTCTAAACCTGTGACTTTATATCTTCTGTAGAACATAAAAGATGATGTTCTGAAAAGCATCTCAGTGTTTTTTGCCCATAGAATCCAAGTCAGTGCTCAACAAAACTGTTTGGTTGGCAACATTCTTCAAAATGTATTCTTTTTTTGTTCTACAGAATTTTCCTTTCTGAGTAAAATATATCCCTTAAGGTTAGTCCATTATAAACAATATTTACATTTTGCTGTTTAAACAGCCTTTTTCTTTCCATTACAGGACTGGCAGCCACCATTTGTTGTGGAGGTGGACAATTTCCGGTTCACACCACGTATTCAGAGGCTCAATGAGCTTGAGGTCAGAGCTGCATCCTGTTGAACTCGTCACCCGTGTGTCTTACTCCATGAAGTGTGACCCACATATTCTTGTGTTGACTAAGCACTAACACGTCTGTTTGTTTTTTTCTCAGGCTGAGACACGAGTGAAGCTAAATTATCTGGACAGAATCGCCAAGTTCTGGGAGATCCAGGGATCCTCTCTGAAGATCCCCAATATAGAACGACGTATTCTCGATCTGTTCAGCTTGGCCAAGGTGAATACTGCAGCCATTTATGTTATTGACTGAGTTGTTTGATGTCATTTCCCTGATTAGGAAAAAAAGATTGGAGATGGTTAACAGAACTTTTATAGACTTTAAAGTAAACTCATCCTAAGAACGTCATAAATCTATAGAATAGTGTAAACTGTAAAGAGTTAGTAATTAACTTGTTTTATGTCCTGTGTGGTAGATTGTGACAGAGGAAGGGGGTTTCGAGGCGGTGTGTAAGGAGAGACGCTGGGCACGTGTGGCACAGAAACTGGGATATCCTCCTGGCAAAAACATTGGCTCTCTCCTGAGGTCGCACTATGAGAGGATCGTCTATCCATTTGAGTTGTTCCAGTCTGGAGCCAGTTTACCGGTACTGTGTTTGCCCATTTATCATTATTGCTTGAAAATCTTCACACGTTCTTTATTATATTATAAGAGTAGCAGTATAATTTTCATTGAATGTGCTTACACGCACACAAATATTCCAGTATTTGAGATTCCAATAATCAGAATTTGGTCATATTTTGATTATGTGAGCATCAGGTCTATACATAAACCTGAATCACATTCCCATATTAATCTGTATTTTGGGTAAACAGCAACTACTATAACTGTACATTCATTTACGTCAGCACATACCCAAACCAAGCTAATTCTGCGTGATATTAGATACAGGCAGTTTTAAAAATTACAGAAGAGAATCACAAGAAAGGAATGTGCATGTCTTAGTTTACTCGAATGCGCTTATTATTTGTGCATGGTAATATTCTGTGGTGCAAGTAAATGTCTTTTACAAATATGAAGCTGATATGTGTGCGTTCTGCATATCTAGCCATGTAAACCGAGGCCATATGACAGTGATGAGGTAGACCGGGAATACAAACCCCACTCCATTCCTCTCCGCCAATCAGTCCCGCCATCTAAGATGAGCAGCTATGGACGACGAGCCAATCGCCTTAAACCTGAGGTGAGTGATATTTCTGGATCAATATATGTGTTAGGCTTTTTTTTGTTATGCTTATATTTCATTGAGGCATAATTTGCTCATTTTGTCATACTGTATGTGATCAGCATTTTTTTCCTACATTTAAAAACAATAATTGTAACAAAATTAAAAAGCCAGTGCAGTGATTTTAAAAACAGTATAAATTCATTTATAACATTTACAGATAAATGCAATTTTTTATCAGTTATTTCAAAGTCATTGTTTACATTTTACAGTGTGCTCTATTAACAAAGATACTACTAAATTGTGCCAAAATCAACTAGTCTAATCTTTACTTTTATTAACCTTCATGATGACTACTGATGACTTTAACCTTTTCCATAAATGTATGTATAACTGACCAGGGCTTAATGGATCCATCCAAATATGTGCTTTGTCTGTTTTTCTGAGATGTATGAACGCTTTTGGATCAGCACTGACCATGCTTTCAAGGCGCTTCCCAGCATGCTTTGCTCCCTGTGCTGTTAAATAAAGGATTGTATCCATCTTGCCCTCATCCCTCTGCCTTTCTGTCACTTTCTGCCTTTCATTTGTTGTCATTACACGTTTTCTCTTTAAAACCATTGGCCATCGCCTAAAATTTTCATTCCATCATAATGCTATTCTCATCCCATTCATTTCAAAGATGCAGCGTTTCCCCAGCATTTATTTTTTGGGTGTTTGGCTTTTTAATTTGCCTGCCCATTACATTAGCTTGGTCAATGGATTCATAGCATTAGTGATAATAAACTAGTATCTGATAATCAAAGAAATCTTTATAGTTTTAAAAGTTAGGGAACCTTCAGTGGTTTCCTTACCACTGAATTACTACAATTATAAGGATATTTAAAGCAATAACATTTAGCCATTTATAACTGCAGTAAGTGAGGTTACCACCATGTTAACTCTCCCCTTCTCTCTCTCGCTCTCTTAATATTTTGTTCAAACCCATATTCTGTTGATTTTCATCCTAAGAAAACTAAAATACGTACATTACCAGAAAAAAGTTTGGACTCACTCAGCTGATCTTTTGGTATAAAAGCATGTGCTTGAATGCTGGAAGCAATTTTGTGGGCAAATATAAATGTCTTTAACATAATATGTAACTACATTAATTACAATTATTTCTTTTTGTATCATAAGTTGCAAGTTGGACCCAGATAGTTTATGAAAAGTAGCCAAAAAGTGTCATACATGGGTACTCCTTTAAAATTTTAAATCATACCAGGATGCACTTGATGTTGGTTAAGAGAATGTCTATAGAGTGTACAGACAAAGAAACTCAAATGCAATATAGTTTGTATTTCTTTACTATACTTTTTTATTAAGGAATTCCCATACACATTTTTAATAATAAGTGTGTTCAAACTTTTGACTGGTATCTTATTTAAAATATAAAATGCTATTTTAAATATATGGAGCAAGTAATGTTATCCATTGAACAATCATGTGCAATTGCAACAAATAACTAAAACTGTTGCAACTGAACACTTTCACACTTGTATGTGATGTTTGTTTAAAAAAATTATATTATGTCTGAATCACTTATGCTGTTGACTTAAAATTGAATCATACTTCAGACATTAAAAAAACACTTTTTTAATAGGTTACTGTCCCCCGATTGACTCTGTCCTGTCGCACATGGTTGTTGTTTTTTCCTTTTGTCTCTCTCTCTCTGGAATCCATTTTGTTTTGGTTGTTGTCTCCCCATGCAGGGTCCAGAGGATCCAACTCACCACCCTCTTACAACTGGCTCTCAACACATCCCCTCGGTACTGCCTCGCTCTCTCTCTCTCTCTCTGTCTCGCTCCCACTGTTCTTTACTTTCCTCCCTATCACTCACTCACTTTCTTTCTTTCTTTCTTTGCCGACGTTCTTTCATGCTTTAAAAAAAAAAAACTTTATTTGACCTTATGCTGTCGTTCCCGCTTAACTGGGTGTCTAATTTCATGTAGAAGCTCTTGTTTTTCGTCTTTCAGCTCTTGCTTTTGCTTATTTCTTTATGCATCCACCCTGTCTTCCTCTGTGTCCTTCAGTCATCTAACACATTTCACTTCTCTTTCTTTCTTTGCCGACGTTCTTTCATGCTTTAAAAAAAAAAACTTTATTTGACCTTATGCTGTCGTTCCCGCTTAACTGGGTGTCTAATTTCATGTAGAAGCTCTTGTTTTTCGTCTTTCAGCTCTTGCTTTTGCTTATTTCTTTATGCATCCACCCTGTCTTCCTCTGTGTCCTTCAGTCATCTAACACATTTCACTTCACTTGTCTTGCCACACTTTTAGCAATGCTGGCTTGCTTACATTTCCTCTTTGGTGGTGGACTGGTTACCCCACTCTGGGCTGCATATTACTACTAATCTATGATTGCTATAATCTGTTGTCACTGCTGTTCTCTTAATGGCTGGTTCATATTATGTTCATCATGCTGCAAGTCAGAAATTAGCTGTTTTTGCTTAACGATGACAAAGCGAAACTTTGTTTTTCAGGAACGGAACAGATAAATACTGCGATTGACATGTCTGACAGACGTCAATCTGGACATAATGCTTAGATGTGTTCTTGCTTCTGCATATTTGAGGCATTTAGCAATTAGGACTGTGATATTTTCGATATTTATGATATAGACCCCCATTTTTTTATTAAAAGGACCTGTATGGCTTTTTTAGTTGTTGATTTTTTTATTTTTTTTTGGTATAAATATATGTAGGTGAATATTGCCAAAATGTATACATAGATTAAGACTGTTTTTACTTCTTGCATTGCACATTTTAAATATACTTGGCAGCAGATGCTATTTAATGTTTAACTGATTGAAGACTGTTATTTCGGAGTAAATATGTAAATGTATAGAGATATATTGAATATAAATAAAGGCCTAGTTTTATTGCCCAGCCCTTTTAAGCAGTGGATCGTTTCATGAGAGACTTTGCCATTCATTATTAATTGTGTTTGAATTAATAATTGCTTTTTCCCTCTTGATAGCAGTCAAGTCTGGCACAAAACTAACTTCATGCATGTTTGCTCTTGCTTTAACAGTCTGCAGTGGCGTCTCAACCATTTTTGTTTTATATTGATCAATCTGGGGTTTTCAATCAGTTTTGTATTGTAGTTTGAGCAACAAAGATTTGAATGAACTATTTAAGAAAGTGTGGGAAAAAATGATTTCACCGACCTTTCTGATGCTTTACAGCTGTGAGAAATGTAGTGAAAAGTTAATATCCTGAACAGTCGGATCCCTCATGGAAAAAGCTGTGTTTAGTGTAGAAACAGAGAAAGGAAAACCCTCTCTCAAATATCGTCACCACTGTTCCTGTAGTTCACTTACAGTCTTTCACTTACGCCCATTAGCCGGAGCCTACAGAGGAAGATATAGAGAAGAACCCTGAGCTGAAAAAACTGCAGATTTACGGGGCTGGACCTAAAATGATGGGGCTCGGTCTTGTACCTCGAGACAAGACACGGAAGAAAGGTTTGTGTCTGCAGTTGGAATTTGATTTGATTTTGTTCTTTATATATGTGACAAATAAATGTTTCAAGTGTCACATTATGCATTTTCCCCAGATGAACTGCCGGAGACTGTAATAGTACGGGACAGCGCTGCCAGTGCATCTGTGAAGGATGAACCTGGAGAGACACCGGTTACAAAATCAGATCCAGACGTTCCTCCACCACCCCCAAATCTCATTGTCAAGGAGGACGATGATGACAAAAATCACACTGATGATCCTAATGATTCCAGTGATGAACCCTGCACCAAGATGACCATGAGACTCCGACGCAACCTCAATAACCCACAGTTTGTAAGTTTGAGAGAGACGTATGAACTTAAGAGTTGGATTGATGGCTCAATCGGACTGAAAATCCTCCATGTAAACACCTCAATCCATCAATCCTTGATCTGAATTAAATAATGATCAGATTGGAAGGGGTGGTGTAGATCTGACATAATTCGATCAACAGGATAAGGATTCGATCAAGCATCTACAGGATAACCATGTAGATGCTTGTATCTGACTATTTTTCCAATCAGATTCAAAAATACCTTGCACACATGCAAAATTTTACTAAGCTCAATAACTGAAATCTGCCAGGTGGACTCGTTTGTATGTCGGATGTGCGGACGTGGGGTCATATTATGTTCATCATGCTGCAAGTCAGAAATTAGCTGTTTTTGCTTAACGATGACAAAGCGAAACTTTGTTTTTCAGGAACGGAACAGATAAATACTGCGATTGACATGTCTGACAGACGTCAATCTGGACATAATGCTTAGATGTGTTCTTGCTTCTGCATATTTGAGGCATTTAGCAATTAGGACTGTGATATTTTCGATATTTATGATATAGACCCCCATTTTTTTATTAAAAGGACCTGTATGGCTTTTTTAGTTGTTGATTTTTTATTTTTTTTTGGTATAAATATATGTAGGTGAATATTGCCAAAATGTATATATAGATTAAGACTGTTTTTACTTCTTGCATTGCACATTTTAAATATACTTGGCAGCAGATGCTATTTAATGTTTAACTGATTGAAGACTGTTATTTCGGAGTAAATATGTAAATGTATAGAGATATATTGAATATAAATAAAGGCCTAGTTTTATTGCCCAGCCCTTTTAAGCAGTGGATCGTTTCATGAGAGACTTTGCCATTCATTATTAATTGTGTTTGAATTAATAATTGCTTTTTCCCTCTTGATAGCAGTCAAGTCTGGCACAAAACTAACTTCATGCATGTTTGCTCTTGCTTTAACAGTCTGCAGTGGCGTCTCAACCATTTTTGTTTTATATTGATCAATCTGGGGTTTTCAATCAGTTTTGTATTGTAGTTTGAGCAACAAAGATTTGAATGAACTATTTAAGAAAGTGTGGGAAAAAATGATTTCACCGACCTTTCTGATGCTTTACAGCTGTGAGAAATGTAGTGAAAAGTTAATATCCTGAACAGTCGGATCCCTCATGGAAAAAGCTGTGTTTAGTGTAGAAACAGAGAAAGGAAAACCCTCTCTCAAATATCGTCACCACTGTTCCTGTAGTTCACTTACAGTCTTTCACTTACGCCCATTAGCCGGAGCCTACAGAGGAAGATATAGAGAAGAACCCTGAGCTGAAAAAACTGCAGATTTACGGGGCTGGACCTAAAATGATGGGGCTCGGTCTTGTACCTCGAGACAAGACACGGAAGAAAGGTTTGTGTCTGCAGTTGGAATTTGATTTGATTTTGTTCTTTATATATGTGACAAATAAATGTTTCAAGTGTCACATTATGCATTTTCCCCAGATGAACTGCCGGAGACTGTAATAGTACGGGACAGCGCTGCCAGTGCATCTGTGAAGGATGAACCTGGAGAGACACCGGTTACAAAATCAGATCCAGACGTTCCTCCACCACCCCCAAATCTCATTGTCAAGGAGGACGATGATGACAAAAATCACACTGATGATCCTAATGATTCCAGTGATGAACCCTGCACCAAGATGACCATGAGACTCCGACGCAACCTCAATAACCCACAGTTTGTAAGTTTGAGAGAGACGTATGAACTTAAGAGTTGGATTGATGGCTCAATCGGACTGAAAATCCTCCATGTAAACACCTCAATCCATCAATCCTTGATCTGAATTAAATAATGATCAGATTGGAAGGGGTGGTGTAGATCTGACATAATTCGATCAACAGGATAAGGATTCGATCAAGCATCTACAGGATAACCATGTAGATGCTTGTATCTGACTATTTTTCCAATCAGATTCAAAAATACCTTGCACACATGCAAAATTTTACTAAGCTCAATAACTGAAATCTGCCAGGTGGACTCGTTTGTATGTCGGATGTGCGGACGTGGGGACGAGGATGAGAAGTTGCTGCTCTGTGATGGGTGCGATGATAATTATCACACGTTCTGCCTGATACCTCCACTCACAGACCCACCCAAGGGGAACTGGCGCTGTCCCAAATGTGTAGCAGAGGTGAGAGACCAGACCGAAATAACTTGTATTATTCTGTTGTGTTATGCTGGAGTCTAAGTTTTAAGTGTCTTAAGCTAGTTTTTTGCTGCTTAATGAATGTGTAATATATAAACAATCTAAGGCTATGTTCACACTTGGCGTCTTTTTTGAAGCTGCCAGCGTTTGTTTCACATTATAATCCTATGGCGTAAACCGTGTTTTCAAAAAAGTCCTGACCGCTTTTTAAAACGCCACCGTCAGCTTCTTTTTCAGCAGCTCAGAGCGTCTTTTTTTTTTAAGTTGAAAATTTTTTTACTTTTCTGAAAAAAACGCTCTACGTCATGCGCCTTTTTGACAGCTGACCAATGACAAGCGAGTAGCGAGTGGTTTCCATAACAACAAGAAAAAATGGAGAAGAGCCGGTAGATAGATCGTACTAGTTTCAGAGCACAAGGACTCTATCTAGTCTAAAATATGCCACAAACCGTGCATTATCCAACCGGAGCTCCTTGACTAAATTGTTGTAAGCACCCACAAACGTCTTTGTGAACTGACATTCTCCTCCCTGTTAACTTCAAAAGCCAACGCAAGAGCCAACTTTTTACTCTTTCTCGACATTTCTGCACCACACAGCACTAGGCTACTGTTGCAGCTGTTGTTATAGCAACAAAAGACGCCCTCGGCTGCTATTTGTAACCAAAACGCTGCCAGCTTTTTTGTTTTACTATAAAAGCGCTCTTGTCAACTTTTTCTTGCCAAAAAAGACGCCAAGTTTGAACACGCCCTAATACTTTCTAAGTGCTGACTTTTATTTCTTGGTGCAGCAATCAACTGTTAATGTGTTGTCTGTGTAGGAGTGTAAAAAGCCAGCAGAGGCGTTTGGTTTTGAGCAGGCCACTCGAGAGTATACGTTACAGAGCTTCGGTGAAATGGCCGATACTTTTAAAGCAGACTACTTCAACATGCCTGTCCATGTGAGTGTTTTTCTTGCCTTTAATCAATCTTGAACCCCACAGACTCTTACTGTACATGTACAAATCATTTCATTGTCATTTGAATTGTTTTTTTTTATTTTTTAGATGGTGCCGACAGAGCTGGTTGAGAAGGAGTTTTGGAGGTTGGTCAGTAGTATTGAAGAAGACGTAACTGTAGAATATGGGGCAGATATTCACTCAAAGGAATTTGGTAGTGGTTTTCCTGTCAACAACGGCAAGAGACACTTGTCAGATGAGGAAGAGGTTCGGTTTTTTTTTTCTCTTCACTTTGTTTTTCCATGTTTTGGTCAAGAAAGCAAATGAACATCTCCGTCCTGTTCTTGTTGCAGCAATATGCCCGCAGCGGCTGGAATTTAAACGTTATGCCAGTGTTGGAGCAGTCAGTATTGTGCCACATTAATGCCGATATCTCTGGCATGAAGGTGCCATGGCTGTATGTGGGCATGGTGTTCTCCGCTTTCTGTTGGCACATAGAGGACCACTGGAGTTACTCCATCAACTATTTACACTGGTAATGCATAGAGACTTTATGTTAATATGCTATGTAGCATCTTTCTGGAGCAGCTTGTCATATCATATCTTTTAATAGTAGAAATTGCCAGAAAAGCTTGTGACCAGTGACCACATGTGTTTTGTACTGTAAGCACAGTCTGATTAAAAAAAACTTGGTTTTGGTTTCTCTTTTTAGGGGTGAGCCCAAAACATGGTATGGTGTGCCATCATCTGCTGCAGAGAAGTTAGAGGAGGTGATGAAGAAACTCACACCTGAGCTCTTCGAGTTTCAGCCAGACCTGCTCCACCAGCTTGTCACCATCATGAACCCAAATATACTCATGTCTCATGGAGTGCCGGTTTGTAACACGCATACTCACTCATTATTATAATTAGCGTACTTAAGTAATCAGGTTGCATCATTAATCCACTACTATTTTAAGAATGTGAAATGAGGCCTGAAAAACACCCTGTGAAATTCTATAAAAGCTCTTTTTGTTAGGTTAATTTGGCTTTTAGGGCTGCTTCCCGATGGCCTGGCAATATATAAATATATGATCTGTGCCCTGAAAATAATATATTCTTACTATTAAAATTTTTCTAATGTTTGGTTATTTTATTGTTTCTCTAAATGTGAACAGACAAAAATGTTCCGTGTGAATAGTTTTGTTGGAGGCATTATTGTTTTGTCATGTGTGAAATGGGCTTTCAAAACACTGATCTCAGTTGGCCATAATTCTTGATTGACAGGTGGTTCGGACCAATCAGTGTGCTGGGGAGTTTGTCATCACTTTTCCACGAGCTTATCACAGCGGTTTCAATCAGGGATATAACTTTGCCGAAGCAGTCAACTTCTGCACCGCAGACTGGGTAAATAAATACAGTGTGCATGCATAAATGCACCTTCATTTAAATCTGTAGTATGTAAAGCAGTGTGTGACCAGATAAACCACATTTTGAGGAACTACCTTTTAAATGTCAGTCATCCTGTTGTGAGTTACTGAGGCTTTTGCTCTTTCTCTCTCTTCTAGCTGCCCACAGGGCGCTCTTGTATTGAGCATTACCGACGGCTGAGGCGCTACTGCGTGTTCTCTCATGAGGAACTCACCTGCAAGATGGCGGCCTGCCCAGAGAAGCTAGATCTGAACCTGGCAGCCGCCACGCACAGGGAGATGTTCATTATCGTACAGGAGGAGAGGAAACTACGCAAAGGCCTCCTGGAAAGGGTGAGTGGAGATGATGTTTGCAGAATGAGGGAAAAACATCTGTGATTGGGCAGCTGATAATATTTGATTGGTGTATAATTGATGTGTATAATATCAGTTTATTACAATGTATGTGAGTTCTGCTACACAAGTCTACAAGTGATCATACTATCAGTGCCTTCCACCTAGTAAGTTCATGCTTCATAAAAGTTACAACTGCATTTCCTAACCTGTGAACTATTAGCAGCCTTCTCTTTTGTTTTTATCAGTTAAAACTAATAAATTAAAAACCCTGTCAGTTTTGTTTATAGAGTATTTAGTGTTTCATTTTATTGGGTGTTTCTCCCCAGTAAAATAGGTCAGGGTTTTTTTTTATTCTTATTTCTTTCTTCTCTTGCATATAAAAAGAACAAGGTACTGTTTATGAGGAAATGTTTACAACATTTTTGTCTGTGCTGTTTTTTTAATGAGATGAAATGGAAAAAAAGTGAATCTCCTCTGTCTCCATTTTATTCACCTTCTAATATGTTTTTGTTAAAATGTTCAAAACTGATCCACATTGTCTATAATTAGCCTGCCCAAAATGCTAAGTAGACATCTTACTAGGTTTTGAATCAAAGGTCATGATGCATTATTACACCTAACTGCTGCTTTTTGGCCACAATGTCACAATCACCTACAAATAAAATCAGAGGTGGATAGACTCTTTTTGACAGCTGATTGACTGTTTTCTACCGTGGTGTCATCTCTCAGGGCATAAAGGAAGCAGAAAGGGAAGCCTTTGAATTACTGCCTGATGATGAAAGACAATGTGACAAATGTAAGACCACCTGCTTTCTCTCAGCCCTGGCGTGTTCGAACTGCCAAGAGAGTCTTGTCTGCCTCTACCATGCCCAGGACCTCTGCTCTTGCCCTAGTGAAAAACTCTACCTCAGGTAAACCAGCACAGAGCGTCTGTGCTACGTTCTTAGCTACAGATGTGTTCTGCCAGAAGTGTCTTATGTGCTTTTGTTCCCTCATCTATACAGGTATCGCTATACTCTGGATGAACTCTTGGCCATGTTGCATCGGCTGAAAGTTCGCGCCGAGTCTTTTGACTCATGGGCAAACCGAGTGAAGGAAGCCCTAGAGCAGGAAGAAGGCAACAAAATAGGTAAATGTGACAAACCACACAGAGAGACAAACTCTGCATTTGTGAACAGTTCTTATTAGTCATTTTAATAGGTGCTGGAGATGTGCAAAACTGAATGCAGCCCAAATGAATGTTTTCTTCTCTCTTCAGACATTAAAGATCTAGAGGTTCTGAAAGAAGAGGCAGCTGACAAGAAGTTCCCCAATAATGAGCTGCTCCAGCGCCTCAACACTGTCCTCGCAGACATCCAAAAGTGTGAGAGCAGCAGCACAGAGCTCCTCAGCAATAGCCAGAGCAGGAGAATGAGTCTGGAGGAGCTGAGGACTCTGGTGGACACCATGCAGAACCTGCCCTGTGTTATAAAACCGCTGGAGGAAGTGCAGGTAAGAAAATAGGCCAAAGATATAGCATATAAAATATTTGGCCATCGGCTTGAAAGTTCAACCACTGTTGCTTCTTTTCCAGGCGGTATTGCAGAAGATAGAGGAGTTTGATGCACGTGCTCAAGCTCTGGTTGACAGCACAAAAGACGAGTGGAAGCAGGACTCTCCTCTACCCGCGGCTTCAGAGATCCAGGCCCTGCTGGAGGAGGGAGCATCGCTGCCTGTTATTGCCCCGGCATGTGAGCTTCTGAGTGGGCTGCAGGAGCAGGGTCGCTGGCTGGGAGAGGTCAGGCGGACGTTAGGGCCGGAGGGGAGCGAGGTGACTCTAGCTGTGCTGAGGAACTTGATGGAGTCAGGTTGTAATGTACCACAGAGCATATCGGTGGAGACCGCAATGGCTGAACTGCAAGAGCTACTGACTATAGCCGAGCGCTGGGAGGAGAAGGCACAGATCTGTCTGGAGGACAGGTGAGCTGGTTCAAGTGAGGGGCGGAATATGTCACCACACCAATGTAGCCTCCATTTTCATCTATCAATTGTTTCTTGCGAGCAGGCAGAAACACCATCTGTCGACGCTGGAGGCCATCGTGAACGAGGCTCAGCTAATACCAGTGCAGCTGCCTAACATCCTGTCCCTGCAGGCCTGCTTGAGCAGAGCTCGCGCTTGGGTCACTGATCTGGAGGAAATTCAGGTGAGAATAATTATGCCATTTCTGATAAACTGGAATTAATGTTCAATATAATAGTCAGCCAGTATGGTTTGGCCATTCAGGGTGGTTGCTTAGTTTGACTGTGTCCTTTCTTGCGTCTTTTTCTGAGAAGAACGGTGAGCACTACCCGTGTCTGGATGATCTGGAGGGTTTGGTGGCCATTGGGCGGGACCTGCCGGTGAAGATGGAGGAGCTGAAGCAGCTGGAACTGCAGGTGGCCAGCGCTCACTCCTGGAGAGAGAAGGCCAGCAAAACGTTCCTGAAGAAGAACAGTCAGCACAGTCTGCTGGAGGTGAAGAGACCATCTACACTTTTGACTCTGAATTGTTATTCAAGGTCTCTCACCAAAAATAGTCATTACTTTACATGACCATGGCTTACCCCCACCTCTGTGTAGGTGTTGTGCCCATGTGTTGAGAAGAGCAAGAAAATGGAGGAGAACTCACTGGGTACGGAAGCAGATTCTGATGTCAATGTATTAGGCCTCACTGCTCAGGACCTCCGAGACCCAGGAGCTATCGTGAGTTACTGTTTACTCATAACTGTTCCATTTATCCTTTGTGTGTTCATACATCAGACTGACAATTTGTCTGAATCAGTGTATGACACACTCTGTTCTAAAACCTAGTGAGCTGCCTACAGGGGCAGCACCTAACTTCTTAGCTGCCTCCAAAGATGGAAGAAATTGTAAGTTGAATCTTCTGTGCTCAGTGCCTTCCAAATCCATGACTTGTGAGATTCCATGACAGTTAAGACCCACTTTTAGTGTTCCAAATGAGGTCCATTAAAAGTACACCTCATTTACCATTAGCACGGATGGGCACAATGTATCTTTGTTTTCAAATGTACAAATCGAAACAAATTGGAAACCAGAGTGGAACACCAATACAGGAAGTATACTATCGGGCTTTAGAAAGCTTTAACTTAAGTTTTGGAACAGCCTAGAGAATTTTATTTTCCTTAATCTCATTGTAAATTGATTAGGTTTTGCATATTTATGCAACTTTTATGTCATCAATATCAGGTGATGGCATTCAAAGAAGGGGAGCATCTGGAGAAAGAGGCCCTCCTCCGCCTTCAGCAGGTGAATTTAACTAAACCCGGCGTAGAAAAAGGAGCAAACGGTGACCAGAACGGCATCAAGACAGAAAGGAAACAGAGTGACTCCATGGAGACAGACACGCCACATAACTCGGACAGCACCTTGCTGCAGAATGGTGGCTCCGCCCCTTCCGTCACCTCTAGCCAATCAGTGTGTGTGTGCAGTGGCCAGCCCTGCCCCTTGCTTCACCGGTGCCATCTATGCAAAGACTGGTTCCATGGAGGTTGTGTGCCCTTCCCATCACTGCTGGGCTCCTCCGACACAAATCTTACAAAGCCCCTCTGCTGGTGGGACTGGAACACACGTTTCCTCTGTCCGCGGTGCCAACGATCCCGGCGGCCACGGCTGGAAACCATTCTAGCGCTGCTGGTGGCGCTGCAGAAGTTACCTGTACGCCTGCCAGAGGGAGAGGCGTTACAGTGTCTTACAGAGAGAGCCATTAACTGGCAGGGTCGAGCCAAACAGGCACTAGACTCTCCGGAATTACAGAGGGAGCTAGAGAGACTCCAACAAGTGGAGCAGGAAATGAACAGTATAAAAGAGGAAGAGCCAGAGGAGAAAAACAAATGGAATGGGGATACTGTAATTGTGTTGTCTGACTCAGAGGAAACAGAAGATGGTGTTATTGATCTGACAGAGGAAGTAAACTCGCCAAAAAAGAGCGAAGAGAAGGCTGCTAATGGTACACAGGTGAGGAAATGCAGTTGTAACTTTTATGAAATCAAACAAATGTAAAAATCTTGTACAAAAACAGCTTTTTCCTCTTCCTGTCCAGTCTGGCTGTCAGAATGGAGTTGCTAAGAAGTCAGGCACTCAGGACATTATAGGTTAGTTGCCTCAGTCATTCACAAGCCTCCTTGATGGGTGTAATCAAACTGCTTTAATTCATTTTTAACCTATCGGCTGTTGTCTCGTTAGGGGTGGAGTCTCTGTTGTCACTAGTGCCGTGTCTCAAAGGGCCGGTGATCGAGCTGACCACATCCACCAGAGCACAGCTGGAGGAGCTTCAGCTAGAAGGAGACCTGCTGGAGGTCACGCTTGACCAGACACACACTATTTACCGGCTCCTACAGGCTGCATCACAGCCGCACCAAGATGCCCTGCACACACTCATACAGGTGAGGAGGGGGGGGGTGTTCAGATCATCACATTATACTGTGAAGACCATTTTTTATACTTCATAGGCCCTATCCCAAATGGCACACTTCATGTGCATTTACGGTCTGTGGCAAAAGAGCCGCCGGCACATTTAGGCCCAATCCCATTTCTACCCCTTAGCCCTTCCCCTTTCCCTCTGTTTTGCGCATTCACGTGAAAGGGTAAGGGTGTCTCGATTCTCTTTTGGTTGAGGGGAAGGGCCAGATAGCCCTTCAAACAAAGATTTTTCGGGACTACTCTTCAAACAAAGGGGTATGAATTATCTCAGCATAAACTGGCTTCAGCGGCAACATGGCTGCCCGAGCGAACAAATATCTGGCTATATTTAAAGGGATAGTTCACCCAAAAATGAAAATTCTATCATTAATTACCCTCAAAGTTGTTCATGTTTGGAACACAAATTAAGATATTTTTGATGAAATCTAACAGCTTTCTGACCCTCCATAGACAGCAACTGAACTACCACATTCAAGGCCCAGAAAGGTAGTAAGGACATTAAAATAGTCAACATGACATCTGTGGTTCAACTGTAATGTTATGAAGCTACGAGAAAAAATTTTTGTGCACAAAGAAAACAAAAATGTGGACTATATTCAATAATTTCTTCTCTTCCATGTCGGTCTTTACCGTGCGTTCACAAGAGTATCACGCAGGAGCCAGCATTCTGACGTAGAACCTGAATGTGCTGCACCTTGTTTACAAGCAGAGGAATGCACACAAGTGTCATGATACTCTTATGAATGCACGGTGGAGACTGACATTGATGAGAAGACATTGGTAAATAAATTCGCTTTTTTTGTTTTCTTTGCACACAAAAAGCATTCTCATAGCTTCATAAAATTACGGTTGAACCACTGATGTCACATGGACTATTTTAATGATGTCCTTACTACCTTTCTGGGCCTTGAACGTGGTAGTTCCTTTGCTGTCTATGGAGGGTCAGAAAGCTCTCGGATTTCATCAAAAAATATCTTAATTTGCAGGGCTTTATGCTTACTTTTCTTTTTAGGAGCACTTGTGCTCCTAACTTTAAACATGTAGGAGCACGTTCAAAATCTTAGGAGCACCTTCTAATCAATAATCCAAAATTGTATCAAAAAATGTCTGTGATGCATTACTCAATGCTGCAAAAACATGTAGAAACTTTTGAAGCTCCCCTGAGCGCAATCACAAGTATGATGATGATCGGGTCAGTCACACTGGTGCTCCTAAAACATTTTTCATAGTCGCACGCAGTAGTTTTCAGTCGCAAATGTGACTGAAATGGTCGCACTATAGAACCCTGATTTGTGTTCCAAAGATAAAAGAAGGTCTTAAGGGTTTGGAACAACATGAGGGTGAGTAATAATGACAGAATTTTCATTTTTGGGTGAACTAACCCTTTAAGCAATGCTATATAGCTACCAGAGTGGGATTAACTATTGTATATATTTGCAAATCTTTTGAAACCGTGAAAGGCTCTGTTTGTTTATCTTAAAGGGGTGGTTCACTGGTTTTTCTCTAGGCTTGATTGTGTTTATGGGGTGCAGTCTAACATGTATTAATGGTTCGTTTTTTTAAATACGCATTCTTTTTCACATAATTTACCTTTATTCCACACCGCTCTGTCCCTTCTCTGAGAAACACACTGATAATTTCCTGTTTTTATGAAGCCCCGCCCTCAGAAATAGGCGATGGGCTCTGATTGGTTAGCTAGCCCAGTGTGTTGTGATTGGCTAAAACGCCTCTATTCCGAAACGTCCCGCCCCTCTTCTCAGCGGCATGTGCTCTGGTTGTATTGTAAACAACGGCGTCGTTAATATCGCTTATCAGTTTGAGCCCGATTGAGAATCAGAGGATATTATTGAAGAGGATTGTGCAGAACCTGTGCAAGCACGGCTTTTAATGGTAGGCCTATGTTTTGTTTGTTGTTGTTTCATACTTTAAGATATGCTTTTATTTGTAAATGCTACTGCTTGTTAGCTTTTAATATACAGTTTTATCCTGATTAAAGCTTTAATACACTATGGCAACTGCACACGTTTAACGCTGCACCATGTTTAACGCTTCTCATAGCTATGTGAAAGTAAGTGTATAATTGTAGCAGTTCATTGTTGGAGCTGAGCTGAATGAGAGAGAGAGACCCCAAGCAGGGGGATGCGAGGAACAGGATGAGAACGCTGCTTTAGAACATTGATTTTGAAAATTGTGAATCCATTAGAATTGTTAGAAGACAGAATCGCAATTCATATATGAATAGATTTTTACGTGCACATCTAGTTTTCTCTTCCTCTTCTCTAAAGCAGCGCATCATGGTCTCGCCCCCTTTGTTGCCTTTTCCCGAGGGCGAGGTCTATCTGGGTTTGTTACGTCACGAACCCGGGAAGTAACTTGTTGTAGTCCCTACCAGCCGTTTTTGTAAGCATTAAACTGCCAGAATTTTAGAAGACAATATCTCCGTTTGCATTGAACTTTCAGCTTTGGAACTTTGCAGATATTGTTTATGCTCGAACAGCAGCATTACACACTAACATTTAAAAAAGTGAAATCGCAATGAACCCCTTTAATTCAGCAATGTTTATTTTTCTGCCCTTTTGGACCCCTCATAATCAGGCTTAATTCATTTTGTGTTTCAGATTGAGCTGCAGGAACAGAGAAGCTCGGGTCGTGGCAGCAAGTCAAAGGACTCTAGGAGGAAGAGAAAGAACCAGAAAACCGAAGGCGAGCCTAAATCTACAGATGCTTCTGAATGCAAGAAGACAAAATCTACAGATCCACACACAGGTACACACTGCTGTCAGGCACCCATTTTATTTACTATCAAATGTCTGTGATCAGCAACAAACACACTTGCTCTTCTCTAGAGTTGGGAATCGAAAATCGATTCCAATTCCAGAATCGGATACTTAAGGTCAGGAATCGGATTTGTTGTAAAATTTCGATTTGCCAGGACCTTGCTCGCTAATCCAAGCGCTCCAAAATTTGGCCACATTTGCGATCAGAAGCCAAAAAAGCCAAGTATAATATCTGATAAGCTAAACATGTTGCAAGAGAGGTGTCACCACCAACATGACGAAGCACTTTAATTAAATTTTTTAAAGGGGTCATATGATGTTGCTAAAAAGAACATTATGTTGTGTATTTGGTGTAATGAAATGTGTTTATGCGGTTTAAGGTTAAAAAACACAATTTTCCACATAATGTACATTATTGTTTCTCCACTATGCTGCCCTGTCCAGCCGGAGCGATGATTCAAAAACATTAAAACCCATTATAAACGAGGCATTTGTTGCATCCAGTGAGGACATAATTACGGATTATAATGACTTATACTGTCTTTTTACACGTTACGTTGCATCGTGCCGTGTAAATATAAAACCATGTCTGCATTTGTGATCGGAGAAATGACAAACAACAAGCCCTACTCTACTCTGCTCAAAACTCGCGTTTGAATCGTCAGTGTCAAATTTTTTAAATATAAAAAACGTACTTGCGGTCTGAGAGTCAGAACAGCCGGCATTGTAGTCTACTCTACCAGGATCAGGAAACAGTCCTCAATAAAATGCGCTGCGCACACCTGAATATTTGGGTTGAACTGTTCTGGAACAGTGTTGTAAATACGTCTTAACCACTGTTTTCTAGTCGTGTCCTCTTTTGGAAGGCCAAACAAAGTAGTTTCGCTTTCACAATGAAAACGCACAGCGGGCTAGAGTGAGCGGAGGCCAGCTTGAGTGAGCAACCACATGTGACGACCCCGGGCTGGACTCCGCTTCGTCCACGGTGAAAGCCGATCCGGCGATCCACAGCGTGAAGTTGAAGTATTTCCTCAGCGACCAGCACAGATCAGCTCCAGGCATGACGAAGCAGATATTGTCCTCTTTTGGAAGACCAAACAAAGTAGTTTCACTTTCACAACGAAACACACAGTGCCTTCACGACATGGCGGCGGCAACAACAATACTAGAATAAAAATTAGGCCTTCTTTCTTTGCGTGTACATTTGGGCGGTGTTATGCAAATCTTCCCACATAGTGACGTAGACGTGGGGCCGTGTTAGAACGAGCCGTTTTAGGTAGGTGTGGCTGACTCTTAACTCACGAAAACATTTTGCAAGACAATCAGCTAGCGAACATAGTACTGGCCATGGCTAGAAATAATTAAATCAAAACAAAACTGTGGTCCCTTTCATTTAAATGTCGGATGAATGGCTTAAAAATTAATGTGAACCCATAATATAAACGTAACAGTAATAAAGACCCAATTAGAATAGTTAAAACTGATTAAAATGTTATAATTGCATTTTTATGCAAACTGATCAGTTACAAAAATGTCAGTTACACTTTCCAGTCATATCTGGGTCATAAAGTGCAAAATTGTCTGTGCAAGTTCAAGAATCCTGCCTCTCAAGAAGACCGTCCAGAAGCTTCTCACACATGTAGAGACAGCGAGGAACATGGAAGAACCCTGGACAAATGTTGGAGAATTTTAAAATGTGTTCAAATATATTAGAAAACAATGTTATATTCACAATATTATGAAAATCGTTGACCCCAAACTTTTGAATGGTAGTGTAGCTTATTAATTGGGTCTGAAAGATGCTCTGCTGCTCAAAAAAGGTATTATTTTTGAATATGAATAATCACAACAAAAATCTACAGAAGGTGAGCGTGAACCACGTTTGACAGTGATTGAAAGCATTTTCTTCATAGCTACTCACCTTTGAAGGGTCCTCCTTTGAAATCCAGCACAAGTTCTCCCTGACGACTCAGATATCCAAACCATTCGCCATGTTCCTCATCAGCAAACTTGAGAAGAGTACATGATGGATCTGAACTTGTGATTATACTGAAAGAGCCTTACTCCAAATGAAATGTCTCTGAAACATCTCTTACATGTGTGAAGGTGTAGTCGTAGATCTGCTTGAACCGGTCCAGTAGCACAGGCTCTCCGATGTGACTGTAAGCCATCAGGTAAGCAATCAGAGCTTCACAGTGAGGCCACCACAACTTCATATTCCACTCTAACTGTAAGACATACATTAAAACATGTCACAATTAAAGCGCAAGAGCTGAACCACAAAAAAAAGCTTTGGCTGAAAACCAAAATATTAAAAGTCAGAAGGTGCATTTCCACTTAACTTGGTCTGAGAGGAAATAACTCTCCATACCAGCAGGGGGCAGTAATCTGTATTCATTATTCAAAAAGGGAACCAAAAACTAAGACTGGATATATGAACTTTACACAACGCAGTGCCTGTTTACAATTTTGAATAGAAATCATGGTGGGTCACTTTGTCCATTCTAGGCAGCCATGTCATGAAATTATTGACATATTGGAACTCATTGTTGCACACTTTCAGCACCTTAGTTTTTTTTCTTCTCGTGCACTGGTTTACTAAAGCTGAACAGCCAATCAGAGTGATTTTTCTCTGAACACGCGTTGAATCAGCCAAAAAGCTACAGACAGGATCTGATTAGTGCCTATGGTGTGGAACAGACGCTCAGTGATGGCCGACTGTTGGCTTGTTCTCGCCTACGTCAAATTTGACATTGAATTATGGATATAATCTGACCTGAGTCGGACAATGACCGTCTACATCCAGGAAGTAGAAAAGGCCGCCATGTTGTTTGTCCCATCCGGTGTGGAAGGGGATCTCCATGAACTTATCCACTGCTGTCTCCTGCAGCTGCACGTCTCCTTTTTTCAGCGCGTACTGCAGCAAGAACCAGCCAGCCTCCAGAGCGTGACCTAGAGAGAGACGCCACTGATAGTAACAGATGCTGAATTTATGAGGAAAGTGCCAGTGAGGTTGGATTTATTCCAAGCCTCTTTATAAGATGCACATAAACAAGCTAACAAACTGATTAGAGAATTCATGAGGAGGCTTCATTCATATTGTAATCAAGAAGTCATTGATCCTGTTGTATTCTGAAATGCTCTTTTACCAGGGTTCTGCAACCGCCCTTGACAGCCAGGAAGTTCCTTTCCATTCAATGTGACATTTTCCAAAATGGCTTTTCCATCTCTCTGAGATGAAAGAATTTAGTTTAATGTATCATTTGGCATTTTCTTCATCTCAGAATTTTTTTTCATTGATACATTATAGGCACATTTTAGGCTTAGTGTCACAGCACTGAAGCTTGTTTAATGTTGGCTCACCTGTATGTGCTGCAGTATCCGTTCCACACACCATCCGCTCAGGTCTTTGTACTTTTCAGCAACATCAGTTCTACCCTCTGTCAGCTGATCTACTAGGCACAGGAGCATCATGGGAACTGCCATGCTGTTGACTGGCAGATCACCAGGAAGTTGAGGACGACCAAGATCTGACGAATCAGTCTGAACCCAGAATATCAACCGGTCCATCATGCTCTCAGCATCTGCCTGTGGAGAACACGGACAAAACAAAACCTGACATGAGATATATGAAATAAACTAAAGATATAAAAGTTATTTCAACATAAATCAGAGGTGAGAAAACATTTAAATGCATAAGCTATAAGTCACTGAAAGCTGCTCAGTTTTTAATAAAACATGTATAAAGCATGACTGGCAGAGACAATTCTGTATGCGTTATGTCATTATTATTTAATCCATTTTAAGTTCTAGGTGAGATGCTGACTAATAGTTTTACCTGCATCTCTTTGTCTTGTGTAATCCTGGACAGCTCATCCATGGCCATCACATAAAAACACTCGCTGAATATCGTCCTTTGAACCTTCACTGTTCGCCCATCTCTCGTCAGGCAGAAGGCACATTTCCCCGGGCCGCTGGAGGCCTGAACTCGAGCAAACTTTTGCAGAAATGCAGCACCTGAAAGCAGAGGCGGACAAAGTACTCAACTCCATTACTTGAGTGAAAGTACAGATACTGCTGGTCAAATATTACTCCATTACAAGTAAAAGTTGTAGAGACAGATTTTTACTTAAGTAAAAGTACAGAAGTACTTGCTTTTGAAAGTAAAAGTCAAGATGCACGTATGCATGTTAACTTTTGAACAGGGTCATTTGGGGAAATTCAATTATTTTGACTTATGAATTACTGTATGTGTCAACGTGTTTCATGCATTAGATTTTTTTTAGGGCAGTACTACAAAACAAAAAAAAAAAAGCAATTTTTATGAACATGTAATTTCTGCAGATCCAGTTTCTGCATATAAATCTCTCTCTCGGCTCGCCAATGCTGCATTTATTTGGTCAGAAATACAGTCAAAACAATAATATTGTGAAATATTATTACAATATAAAAACTTTTCTATTTTTAACTATAATTTATTCCTGTGATAAAGCTGGATTTTCAGCAGTCATTACTCAAACGGATGGATGGAAAAAGCAACTGAGAAACTGAATCCCAAACCTGATTTAGCAGCCTCAAGAATCTCAGGTCTGTGAAATCTTTCCATTGTACGATACAGCCTGCTGTACATCCAGACCTAGTGGATATGTCAGACATCAGACACTCAATTTAACACAGCTTTTATAGAAAAAAATTAAATAATTTAATACAAAAAAATAGTCAGCTTATGATTAATATATGAATAGAAAGAACTTGAAAATAAACACTAAAATGGAAGAAAACTAACCTGTCTCCCTTGTAACCACACATATTTCAGCTCATCATAGACCTTCCCATCTTTTCCAAGGCAGTTAAAAAAACCACTAAAGTCAATAAAATGAAAAACATTTAACAGGGGCATTATATTTAATCCACATGTTAAATCAATTAATTGTTAAATTAACTTAAACACATAACTCAGCAAAGTATGTCTTTTGAAAACTCTTTGAATGATGGGTGTCCCTCAGGGTTCAGTGCTGAGGGCAATTTCAATGTTTCAGCATTTAAGTTTGTTAACCATTCAGGGTTACAGAATACAAATATTTTAGCATCCAGTTAGATATTTAAAGAATTAGGCCTATAAGGAAATTCTTCTAAAGCCATGTATTAAAATATGAATCATTTCACCCGTGTTCCTGGTCATGGGAATATTTTAGCCAGAAATCCACGACTCTGTCCAGTTCAGTCCGGATTCTCTCTCGATACTGTTCCAGCAGTGCTGCAGTCATTGTTCCTTAAAATAAAAAAGTGATGGTTTAGGGTCATACATGATGGCTGTTTTATAGTAGGACATAATACAGTTTGAACATGTGGGGGTCTTGCAGTAGTGATCCTGTGATGTTAAAAACTGACCCTTGATCTTTGTCAGTGAATCAGTGTTTGTCCAACTTTATATCTCTGTCAGCTGTGTATCATACACCTAAAATGTTTGCATAATCAATAACTCAGCAATGCAAAGATGAATTCAGTTTAAGTCTTGTTAAACTCTCCTAAATAAGCATCCAAGTACGTGAAGCAGTGTGTTTTCTATATGCTTTTTATTCATGAAAACTGTGACAGTATCTTAACCAATCAGAAAAGCATTTTTTTCAATAGCAACCACTGTCAGCCGTTCAGGTGATTTATTAAACACAAGCTTTTGCTTACTGCTTCATTAACATTATCTGCTTGAACGAACTAAAAGCTTTTAGAGGTAAAGGCAACTCTGAAGGTGTGTTTGCTGACTCTCTACAAGAAGTTACTTATTAGTTATTAGAACTCTGCATATTGCGTGCCAGTGGAACAACACAACGTTACAAGAAAAACAATACTCATGTCAAAACTAGCGTCCCTTGGCATTCCCCTGCTCGCAAAACACTTCATATTCACTTACCTGTTTTTCCAGAGGAAGAATTAAACCCCTCCTTCTATAGCCTACTATACGTGACTGTTTTTTAAACTATCTTCTTTTTAGTGACAGTGAAATTAAAAGCGCTTATAAATCGACTCTTCCTCAGTTTTTGCAGAGACAGTGAAAGACGGCGCATCATATGACCAACATCCAGCCAGCTGCTCCCGTTTATTCCGCTTTCCTGAGCTCATTCGCCAGCTGCTGTCCCTGCTCATCCAATCACAGCGCGGGAGGACAGGCGAGGGCGTGTTTAGTGGGCTCACGGAAGCGCTGCACTTGCGCAGCACGCTTTAGTTTCGCAAGCACTGCTGCTGTTTGATTTCTGCGCAAACAGAGCGCCTTTACACGATGGAACCGTTTTACTGCAAATGCAGGTAGACTGACATTAAAGCAAGTTGTTTAAGTTGTATAAATAGTTCGATATGGTTTGATTTGTTACAATAGGACAAAACGTACAATACTGACATTAGAAATACTTACTACACATTAAACATTCGCCACAGTAGCTCTTTACCCCGTTATTATTTTTACTACTAATAAAAATGAAAACACTGTAGTCGAACAAGTGCCATGGTAGAATTGTGTTTTTTATTTAATGACCTTTCAGGTTTTACAATAAAACTGGCCTCCACTCTCAACAAAAAAGTTAAACAAAATGACAGAATGATTTCAGCAGATTTTGTATAGTTTTACAGTACTAGGGCCTGTCAGTAATTGTAGTTATTATAATAGCTAATGGTATTTTAAGATCACCATGGGTGTGTTTTTTAACATTATTTAATTATTATAGAACACAATGCAATGTACTGCAACAGACTGTGAAAAAGTTTAATAACAAATAATGAATATGATGACACACTGTGTACTGTGTTTGCAAATGAAGCACGCGTTGAGTCAGATTCAGGAGTGGAGGTTCTTCTGTAGAGCTGTGTGGACTTTCCTCAGGTTCTGTCTCACTCGGACGAACTCCAAGAGCTGGACCTCCTCACATAGCCTCTGCTCCTCCTCCTTCTCCTTCTGAGAAGCAACAAGACAAATCACTAAACACTTCAATCTTAACCTTAAATTTGACCGTGGTAACGAGATTCCACCAGTTACTACAGGTATTGAAACAGGTGGTAAACAAAATTACATTAAAGATCGTGAAAGCACAGTTCATGCATATTAATTTATTATGATAACACAGATTTTTTTTTTTGAAAAGTAGCAAGTATGCTGGAAACTAGAGGTAACATGGTCAAGAATTAAGGAACATACAAGAGCAATGTGAAAAAAAAAATCAATACTACACATTACACAATTGTTGTTCACAGCATTTGTGTTCGATTAGTTGTTTTCAGCACACACACACACTTCTGACCATCATCTCCTGATGTTTGCTCTGGCGCTCGAGCAGCACCTGCTCCAGAGGACCCCTGCTCTGCTCTCCCTCCTCTCTCTGGGTCTGCTCTGTCTTCCTCTTCTCCAGAACCACCTGAAGCTCCGGCTTACAGCACACCACCAGCCCTCTGTCCCGCCCAAAGGCCCAAGCACAAACAACACATATAAAAGTAACATTTGACCAGTGCTATGCAAGCATTTTTATATGCTGTAATAGTTTTGAATTAGCTTTTTATTTTAGTTTTCATTTTAAAGTTTTTCATGTAATATTAATATTTTATTTTATTTCAACTTTACTTAAATTAACGAAAACAATTTTAATAGTTTGTTTTAATTAACATCAACAACACTGCATGTAAAAGTAATAGAAGAACTGTACTTAATATCCTTAAGGAGAAAATCCAGTGCTACGCTTTTTTGTCCAGGAACCACATTCCTATCAAACAACTATGGACCAATAACTATGCATAAAATCAGATAGATTGATAGGAATATTGATCCTACTAGGGGGGAAAATCTTCCAAATATACAGCAAAATAACTGGTGATAATGTATCTAGGTAAAATTTACATTTGCATTTTTTGCGTTTAGCGAACACTTCTATCCAAAAACTTAAAAATGACATTTTATAAAAAAATTTAAGGAAAAGCTAAAATAATTTTTCTTGTGTTTTTGTATTATGACATTGTATGGTATGGAGCCCCTCTTGCAAATCTTTTGCGTTCCCCTCACAAAAACATTAAAATAATGTTTCCTCCCACGTTGTATTATTTCCATCACAAATGTTTTAAGAGGGAATGTTTCTCAGGGGAATGTAAAAGTTTTGTATCAAAATGCTAAAGTTTTGCAATGAAATGTGACGTTTTTTAGGGAAACACAAAACTTTTGCATTTTGGGAATGTGAAGTTTCTAGGGTGAATGCAAAAGACTGCAACAGAATGCAAAAGTTTTGCGAGGGAACGATTTAAGTATTTTCTCGGGGGAATAAATTACATTTCAATGCTTTTGCATTCCTCTAAGAAACTTTCTGCTTGCCCACAAAAGCATGAAATACACTTTTTCTTTCAACCTAGTATTACTTCCAACACAATGTTTACAGTGGAATGTAAAAGTTTTATATAAAAAACATCTTTCTTATCTTTTTTTAACCCATCACCAGGGGACTAAGGGGCTTCATAGATATCATGAGATTTAACTGTAATTTTTGAGCCCATATTTCTCTGCCAAACTGACCGAACTACTGTTTTTCAGTAGTGTCAGCAGGCCTATCATTACAATGTCTGCCACAGTGTGGCCTGATAATACCAGAGGGTGTACTATTGCAGCCTGTGTGTCCACACATGACTGCCTGACACAAAAGACCAGCGAGAGAGAGAGAGAGAGAGAGAGAACGAGGCATCATTAATATTTCATTAATAAGCTCAGCGATTTATTAAAGTCTCCATGACAGTATCTGATTTGGAGCATTTTATGGTGATCTTACTTTTTGTGGGCCAGTAACAGCTCCTTGTGAAGCTCCTGATGGCTCCTCGAGGCTTTCACCGGGTTGTTCAGGTTCCAGGGGCCCTCTGCAATATCACATTTATCTGCATTTTCATAGACACAAAAGTTAATTCTGCAAAATTCTACAAGACACACTTCTCATGTCACTGTCTGTGAAAAACACCAGGACAACGCACCTCGTTTATCGCCATGATGATGCAAAGAACTACAATTAAAAGTGTCTGTGGACATCTTTGTTCTGGCCTGTGCTGCTGCTGGTCTGCTGGAGTTGGAGACGTGGTTGTGTCCTGCGAGGCTGTTGGATAAGGCATTTCTGAGCTCTTGTTCGGACGGTCTAGTCGGGAGTGTTTTTGCAGCGGCCGATCTCATTGCACACACAGGTATCAAGAAGAGCCCTCAGCCAAAGCTCCTGCTGCATGCTGGGAAACTGTGCGTTTGGGATCGTCAATGAAAGCAAAGAGAGTGACAAGAGGGGTGAGTTTCACCTAAGTGGGGATCTATAATTTATCAGCTGGTCAAATGTCATGTGACACTGAAGACTGGAGTAATGATGCTGAAAATTCAACGTTGCCATCAAAGTAATATATTACATTTTAACATTTAAAAAAAAGAACTAAACTGTTTTCAAATTGTAAAAGTATTTCATAATATTACTGTCTTTGCTGTATTTTTGATCAAAGAAGTATAGCTTGGTAAGACTTCTTAACATTATTATTTTTTTTAAATCTTACCGAACCTAAACTTTTGATGTTGACGTTGAACTGTATATGTTAAAACCAGCAAATGGTAACATGATAAAAAAA